GCACCGGTGCGCTACTTAAAAGAAGCGAGAACTGCGGCAGGCGGGTGCGCGTGTCCCGACTCGGAGAGAGGAAGGACCGGGGCGGGTGCAGGAGGCGAGATGAGCGGCCATGCACGCCTGGGGACAGGGCGACTGCGTCTCAAAAACAAAAAAATGAAAAAAAAAAGAGCTACAGCTTCCCGGACTGGCCAGAGGTCTACACCCTCCTCTGTGCCTGTGTGAGCCGGCCCCAGCATTGGGGGCTCAGGCGCCACCCCAGGCTCCCCTTCTGGGGGGCTTCTTCCTCCTCCTCCAACTCGTCCTCCTCTTGGCTGTCTCCTGCATCTGGTGGCTAAGCGATCTCTGTGCCAGCCTCAGTGGCTCTTCCTCCCCCGACCTCTGACCCTTGGCCCCTGACCTGCATGAGCCCTTCCAGCTCCCTCCTCCCAGGGGAGTGGAGGACAATGGCCACAGGCTAGGCCTGGAGGGAGATCCCGCTCCAGGCCTGCACAACCTGAGCTCGCACCCCAGTGCAGTCTCTTCTCCCCGTGGGGAAACTGAGGCAGAGAGGGCGCAGTTACCTGCTACGGTCACACGCAGGGCCTATTCCAGCGCTGGAAGTTCCCCTCCCCTCCCTGCACCTGCCCTGCCCGCCCCCGCACCGCCCTCCCACAAACGCCCGGGCTTCCTCCCAGCGCCCGCCTCGGCCGCGCCCGGGCTCCGCTTTGCAAAGTCAGGGGCCCCCTCTGGTGGAGACTCGGGGAAGTGCAGCGCTCCGGAGGGAGACGTCCGATCGCTGCACAGAAAATCCAGGTTTCACACACCCTGGACTAAGGGACTTAGCGGGGCTGCGAGATACAAAACCAATACGCCAAAGTATTATTTTATTTATAAATGCCAGCCATGAATATTGGAAGATCAACGCGAACATCAATACCCTTTACTACACAATAAAAAAGTCAAACACCAGGAATACATTTAATAGAAGGCACGCAAGATCTCTGCACCAAAAAGGACAAATCTTGCTGGAAGGAAATTTCAAAGGCCTCTGTAGGTGGAGCGACAGGAACACGGGCCATTTTCATCACCCTACAGTGTTTCCTCACCTCTCGGTCACCTGCCTGAAGGGGCGGGGAGCAGACACCCTAGGGTGATACATCTTGCTTTGGGCCATGGTTACACAGGTGTGGAATCATCACAATTTATTGAACTGGACATTTCAGGTCTGTGCATTCTGTTTATTTAATTTTCTCTCAATAAAAAATATATCTATACATTCAGTTCCCACTCGGACATACAAAGGGATTGGAAGTCATCAAGTCCATCCTCACAACCACATCGGAAACGCTGGGCAAAATGAAATGCAGCTGAACAGCCATCTGAGAACTGGGCTCACAGGGCAAAGCACTGCCCCCAAACCGAACAGACCGGTGGCCACTAGGGAGGCTGAGGTGGGAGGATCGCTTGAGCCTGGGAGGTTGAAGCTTCAGCGAGCTAGAATTGCACCGCTGCACTCCAGCCTGGGCAACAGAACAAGACCCCGTCTAAAAAAAAAAAAAAAAATTAAAAACCTCTGCTCTGAAGAAACATTGTTAAGAGAATGAAAAGACAAGCCACAGACTGGGAGAATATCTTTGCAAAACTCATATCTGATAAAGGATGATTATCCAGAATATACCAAGAACTCTTAAAGTCAACATTAAAGAGAACAAGAAACCTGGCCGGGCGCGTAGTCACGCCTGTCATCCCAGCACAAGCAACCCGGCCGGGCGCGGTGGCTCACGCCAGTCATCCCAGCACTGCTGGAGGCTGAGGCGGGCGGATCAGATCACGAGGTCGAGGTCAGGAGATAGAGACCAGCCTGGCCAACATGGTGAAACCCTGTCTCTACCAAAAACATAAAAATTAGCTGGGCGTGGTGGCGCATGCCTGTAATCCCAGCTACTCGGGAGGTTGAGGCAGGAGGATCACTTGAACCAGGGAGGTGCAGGTTGTGGTGAGCCACGATCGTGCCACTGCACTCCAGCCTGGTGACAGAGCGAGACTCCGTCTCAAAATAAATAAATAAATAAATAAAAGCAATGAGCTATCGAGCCTTGAAAAGACATAGAGGGGCCTTAACTGTGAAAAAAGTGAAAAAAGCCAGTTGGAAAAAGTTAACAGTGTATCATCTATGGTGGATAAATCAAAACTTCGGAAACAATGAAAATATCCATAGTTTCCAGAGGCTATGGAGGGGGAGAGGCAATGGAGCACGAGATTTTGAGGGCAGTGGATGTATTCTGTATAATACAGTAACGGTGGACACGTGACTTGTGCAGTTGCCATGCACGACCCTCAGAACACAATGTACAACAGAGAGAGTAAACCCTCATGTAAACTGTGGGTGTTAGTTAGTAATAATGTATCAATATTGTTCATCAGCTGTAACAATGCACCACACTAATGCAAAATGTTCATCACAGGAAACTCTGTGTGTTGGGGGGGCAGGTGTGGGGGTTATACTATCTGTACTATCTGCCTAGTTGTCTGTAAACTTAAAACTGCTCTAAAAAATAAAGTGTATGGGCTGGGCACGGTGGCTCACGCCTGTAACCCCAGCACTTTGGGACGCCGAGGTGGGTGGATCACGAGGTCAGGAGATTGAGACCATCCATCCTGGCCTAACACGGTGAAACCGCCATCTCTACTAAAAATACAAAAAATTAGCCCAGGCGAGGTGCGGGCGCCGCTGTAGATCACCAAGCTACTCGGGCCTGAGAGCAGGAGACTGGCATGAACCACTGGAGGCAGAGCTTGCAGTGAGCCGAGATGGCGCACCACTGCACTCCAGCCTGGGCGACAGAGCGATAACTCTGTCTCAATAATAATAATAATCAATAATAAGTATAATATATAAAAAAAGTGTAATGAATTCACAAAACGCCATACAGCTCAATTCAGTGTGCAATTTAACCTTGGGACAACCTGCTTTTGTCTCCCCTGAATCCTTCTGTTTACTGTAGGGCAACAATCACCACCTGCGTGTGTATCCATAAACCATCACAAATAACCATGCACTATGCTTTACTGTTGGTTGCTTCAAACTCGTCAATTCTCTTTCCAAAGTTTTTTGACCGAGAAAACTGTCTTACACACGTCACAAGCTGTTTACGACAATTTCCAAGAGCTTGTCTTCCTTAGTTTAAGGTCTAGATTTTCACATCTTATCTTCTTTTTGCAGAATTTCCTTTGCACCATTTCTTTTTTTTTTTTTTCTTTGAGATGGAGTCTCGCCTACTGCCCCCCAGCCTGAGGTGCAGTGGGCGGCAATCTCCTGCTCACTGCCAAGCTCTGCCTCCCAGGCCTTCAACGACCCATTCTCCTGGCCTCAAGCTTCCTGAGTAGGCGGATGACTACAGGTGGCCCGCCACCATGCCCGGCTAGATTATTGTGTAATTCTTCTTTTTTTTTTTCTTTGAGACGGAGATCTCGCTCTGTCCACCCAGGCTGGAAGTGCAGGTGCTGGATCTCACTCAGCTGCAAGCTCCGCCATCCGCGAGTTCACGCCATTCTCCTGCCTCAGCCTCCCGAGTAAGCTGGACTCAACAGGACATCGCCACGACTCGCCCGGCTAGTTTTTTGTAATTTTTTAGTAAAAGGACAGGGTTTTCCACCATGTTAACCACAGGATGGTCTCGATCTCCTGACCCTCGTGGATCATGCCGTCTCGGCCCTTCCAAAGTGCTGGAATTACAGGTGTGAGCCACCATGCCTGGCCATCGACTGACTTTTATTGAGGGTCAATCCTTTTCTCATCGCCTACTTTTTTTTTTTTTTTCTTCTTTAAAGACAGAGTCTCGCTTTGTTGCCAGACTGGAGTGCAGTGGCACAATCTTCGGATTCACTGCAACCTCCTGCACCTCCCTGGTTCAAAGCGATTCTCCTCGCCTCAGTCTCCCTAGTAGCTGGATTTACAGGCACGTGCCACCCATCGCCCGTGGCTAATTTTTATGTTGTGTAGCTACGAGGGACCGGGGTTTCACCCATCCGTGGGCCCGGATGTCTCGATCCTCCTGACCTCCATGATCTGC